TTCCCTGGGCAGTAATGGTTGGGGCTATTGGGGGGTGGGGGGAACGGATAACAGATCAGAGTGCTGAGAGCGACAAGAAAACTGATGATGCCAACAATGCCCCATTCTGTGCCTCTGAATTGGATGGTGAGCACAGACTTGCCGACTCCCACTATCACCAGATGGTTCTTTTCCTGCCCCGGGCCAACTAGAGCCTGCGGCTATCAAGGAAGAGCCCAGGCCAGGAGAGGCAAGCTGGGAGTGCCACACAAATGCAAATTACATGGCACTTCTGCACCTTCCGGCCATCTCCATCACCACTTCAGCCCGCCTGTGCTGCCAGCCCTCTTGCTGCAACATCACCATTACCTCGTCCTGGCTGGCGACAGCTGCGCTGCTTTTTGCAAGTTTGCGCTTGGCCGAAGGATGGGACCAGCGCTTGGGTGGGCCATGTGAGCAATGCAGCCTTGTGTTCCCGTGAAGCCCGGATTAATTGCTTTGAGGGAGGTGCTTTGGGGAGGACATTTCTCTGAAGACCACCAAAATATACTTGTGGCCCACCAGTTGGCAGCCACTGTTCTAGACCAGCAGATTACATGCTATGTACAGATGTTTGTTTTTATGCAATACTAGGTACAATATTAATTATAACGTTGCATGATGTAATATAGAAATAAATATTCAAAACCAGAGAGATACAGATTGTGAAGGTGGGGTGTTTGTTTTGTATCTATGTGCATATATGAATAAAAAGTGTGTGTGTGTGTGTGTGTGTGTGTGCGTAATTTGTAAGAGCTTTGAAGGAAAAAGGATAAAAAATAAGCATGACAATTACAGGGAACCTGTTTTAAATTTTTGACACAAGAATATTACTAATTTTGTTCTTTCTTTAAAGTGATTATGCTATCAGACTAAACAAGGCTTTATTAATCTACATAACTGCAAATATTATTATCTAAAATTTATCAATGTTCAACATTTAAGCTAGTCTAATGTCATCGTGATTCCATATATACTGCAATTTATACAACACAAAACTTTCAAAATTTGTTTCCTTTATCTAGGAGATATAGACATCTCTGAGATGTGCATCATCTTCAGTCAAGAAGAAGTAAACAGAAACAAATCTGAATCTGGCAGAAATTGGCAAGGAGAAAATGAAGTAACATACATACAGAAATCAATGGTATTAAAACTAACCCCTAATTTGTCTTTCTTATGTATGCTAATTGTTCCCATCCAGTTACATGTCAGACCATACCTAATTTTAGCCAAACCCCCCCCGCCCCCCCAAGAAGTCTACCAAGGGCATAAGCTTTCTCCAAATGGACCTCAGAGCTTCTTTTGCTCTTTTCTTGTGTTATAAAGTAATGGGTGTTGGTAAATTTACCTGAGAACGCCCTTTCTATCTATGCTGCTTGAGAGCCCAGGATGCATTAGACCCCTCCTGATGACATCATCAAGCTGAGTCTGTCTTGTATAAAAGGAGCAGCCTGTGGGACTGACCCCAGCTTTGGTGAAGGTACTTGACAGACTTTAGTCTGAAAGCCAAACAGAATCTTGAACAATAACATATCTTACCATAGTCCGGATGAAACAAGGGAGGGACTGGGCTCTCTAGCAGCATAGATAGAAAGGGCGTTCTCAGGTAAATTTACCAATGCCCATTCTCCTCCATGCTGCTGTGAGAGCCCAGGGTGAGACATACCAAAGCCTGCATGTCCTCGGGAGGGTCCTCATCTGGTTAATCACTCTGAAGTTGGAACTACTCACTGAAGCACCCGTCTGCCAAAGGCCGCACTTGTTGGGGGAAGGGCCCATATTCCACGTCCATTGGGCTGTTCGTGCTGCTTGGGGTAGGGAGGGGGAAGCAAAAAGCCTACTCGGTCCATAAGTACTCATCAGCATGATGGTGAATCTCTGCAGGCACTGATTCCCCCAGCGTTCCATGTGTGCAACTCCTCAAAATTTTAAAGAATTAGCACTCTTGCAGCCAGAGCCAGGCTTGAAGCAGCAGCAATCGTTTGGAGCTTTTCACTCCTCCACCCCAGCCATGCGTTTTCCAAACCCGGCTCTGGCTGCAGGCATGCGATTGTGAGGACAGGCTTTTCCTTTTGCTCAGAAGATCAGCAGGTAAAAGAGCCAGTGAGCTGCAAGGAGGAAGGAAGCCATATCCTCAGCTCCACGGGGTTTGTGTGGAGACTGTGCTAGGGGCCTAGCAAGGAAATGCATTCCCATCCCCACTAGCAGAGATGATCTTGCCGGCATGGGGGATTCCGGAGACACGGCTGGGGGAAGAGAAGGGCTGGCAATTGCACCTATTGTGTGGGTTGCTTTGTGGTAAGTTAGCACTGTTTTATGTGATCAGCCATGCAAAAGGCTGGGGTCATTGCTTGCGCACATGGGGTGTGTATATATCCAGGGCGCTTGGCAGTATCACTGGACAGTCGCTATCCCAGGGGTTTTGCTCTGGAGCCTGATCTAATAGGCACGGATGTGATTTATGCAGCAGCAACAAAGGGCAGGCCGTTGTGTGTGCAGCCAGAAGCATTTTGCGCGTAGGCTGATTCCAAAGCACGCTCCCTTATAAGATTGATTGTACCAAACTTTTTGCTTGTTTGCTTGCATGTATGTATGTGTGTATGTGCTCTCTAGGGGTCTTCTGCTTTAAGGGGCACTAGCTTTGGGATTTACAGGATTGCGGGTTGATCTGCTCCCTCCTCCTCCTCCTTTGTCCTTTGGCTTCATAGGTAGATGGTCCTCCCTGGGATTTGCATCTGATTTACTGCCTACAAGTCTGTTCTTTTTGGAGAGTCCTTTTCTAATAGGATGAGCTGTGGTTTTGCATTGATGTTTGGATTGATGGGGGGGGGGGGTTGTTTAAGCCCTTGGCCTTGAACTGAGGGATGCTACCTTTATTGGGTTATAAGGAGGAATTGGAAACAGGTTTCTTCTTAATTTTTAGAAGACAAAATCACAGGGGTTTAATATAGCAGAGCAGCTCCCTCTAATTGTGTTAGACAGTCTCTTGACTTTTTTTCTTTTTTTTTTTGCTGCCAAGCTTGATGTGGGACTTATCATAGTCTCTCCATTATCCATTCCCTTAAGTTCTCTCTGCAGCATTTTCTCAGTGAAAATTTTCGCCCGTGAACATGAGTGAAGTGGGGGAAATCCAGACTTCTAAATTTCAGATTCTGTATCATGTATAATCTGGCTTCCAAACTCGGATATATGATAGATAGATAGATAGATAATCTAGCTTCCAAACTTAGGTAGGTAGGTAGGTAGGTATAGGCTAAAAAAACCTCACCTGATTTCAAAATATTTTATCCAGATTTTTAAAATTACTTTTTCGTTTTACTTTTCTCACTTTTATTTATATTTTATCATTCAGATTTTATTTTATATTCCATTCTTAATTTGAATGTTGGTGGAAATAATTTTATGCTGTCTTCCAACATACCCTCTTTACTGTAAATAGCCATCAACACATTAATGAAATTCACTATCTTAAGTACTCCCTTTGAAACTCTATAGAGCTTTTCATCTGTACATTTTTGAAAGTTTTGGTGTAAGAGTAAGAACTTAAGAGTATATTCATACTGTAGAAGTTGTTGGAAAAGACCCTGTTAGTCTCGGGTAGCCAAAAATTTCAGGAATGTGGTAGCTCCCCTTCAAGCTAACAACATCCTTTATCAATTTAGCTACTCCATCAGTTGGATAAAATGAGATTAAAGTTTAATGTATTTTTATACTATCTGTTAACCTAAAATGGGTCTAATAGATTCCTACTGTAGAGGTAGTCCTTGACTAACACCACAACGGAGTCCAAAGCTTCTGTTGCTAAGCAAGGCAATTAATAAGTGAGTTTTGCTCCATTTTATGACTATAATTGTTAAGTGAATCACTGCAGTTAAGTTAGTTCATTTAGTGACCATTAGAAGTTACAATGGCACTGAAATGACTGCTTTTCAACTTACAGTCATTGCAGCATCCTCATAGTCACATGATCAAAATTCAGATGCTTGTCAAGTAGTTTATATATTTATGACAGTTACAGTGTCCTAGGATCATGTGATCGATTTTTGCGACCTTCTGACATATTCACTTAAAAACTGTTATTAACTTAACTGCAGTGACTTATTTAACAACTGTGGCAAGAAAGGTTGTTAATGGGGCAAAATTCACTTAATATCAAAGGAGCAGCTCCTCGCATTGTGGCTGCTGCAATGAATATGAGACGCTCAGCCAATGGTTTGAGCATAGTTAACATCTCCAACCCAATGAGCTGTCTGTTAACACTCACCACACCTGTCAATTTACCAACTCCAGTTACTGCACCAGTGAACATCACACATAAAGTCACTATCACCTTACCAATGAATCTCACAACACCAATGACATTAGCTGGCCCTTTAAATATAACCATGAGACCTGTGGAAAGCGTGCCTTTCCTTCCTCAGGCATTGCCAACCTCTCCCCCCCCAGTAAAAAAAAATCTAGAGCAAAAACCTCATGCAGTATGAAAAAGAATAGAAAAGGGGGCTGCTGTGTATTGTTTAATAGACTGCTATATTGGCAAAATGCACTGCTAAATTGGCCATGCCCACCCAGTCACATGATCATATAGCCATGCCCAAGCCACGCCTATAGAATCGGTAGTAAAAAAAATTTGAATCCCACTACTGGTCTTAGGCGTCCAAAGAAAAAGACAGAAATCACTGCAATAATATTGCAATATATATCACTAAACACCTCTCCTAGTAAGGGAGTCTGATACATTAACTCAAATGTAAAAAAAAATAACTACCTTAAACAAATATTAGCTTATTTTTGTGCAAAACAAACCAGTAATTCAATATTTCTTATTGTATATGTCCTATAAATTATCACCTATTATATAAAAATGTCATTAGTAAAAAAAATGAATGGCAAAATTTATTTACATTTATCAAACAGTAAATGAAGACCATAGCCCAAACCTACTTTCAATAGTCTTAAGGAAGAATCTGCATACTCACCTTGAAGCTTCCCTCTAAGTTCTCCAGAAGACATTAAGCTAATATGCTCAGTAATTGCCTGTTCACCTCCTAGATCTTCACTAGAGTTCATCTGCTGGTCACTACATTCTTCTTCTGTTGCTAGGACCTTGCATACATCACTGTCATTACCCTTTTCAAAAATTAATGAAGAACAATCTTCATTCTTGTCATCTTTTAATTCTGGGGAGCTGTTGCTGATAGATATTACAGCACTAATACTCTTGGAGTTCATTTGGGAAACATGCTGAGGTACTATCCCAACAAATTTCAGGCCCCGACTTGCAGCATCTTGAATCTATAAAACCAGGAGAGATAATATTTTAATTTACCAAATGTCCTTTAGGAATACGAGTGCTTCAAAGAAGTAAAGAAACTAGAAACTAGAGTTATTTTATGAGTGTATTTTTCCCTAGTGCATAAAATGTCCCATTAGACTGGTATACTACAATCCAAGACTCTATTAGCATTTTTTCTTTAAAAATAAAAATAACTCTAGTATAGAAAAAAAATCTCATTGGCTTGGATTTTTAGTATCATGGCATATTGAATTCACAATATATGTTATATTAGGAGAATAGTCTCCAATATATCAAAGTTTGTATGGTTCTACTTATATTAGAGTGAACTTTTTTTCTTAAACTCCAAGACTGCATTGCTTCAATTTTGTACTGGTTTATAAATCATTTAATTTTTAATAGAAAATCAGAAGACACTTGGAGAAAATGTTAGCACTATTGAAAGTATTACAGCAGCACTGAAAGCAGAGCTGCAAACCAGAAAATAACTGTAAAGAACTCAGAAAACAGATGTGATTGTGTGGCATTATTTAAGTAGCATAGAGGGAAGTTATGTACAGGATGTGGAAAAGCAACGTGAAAAGATGAATCTGTGAGTGGAAACAAAGACGCAGCAGTATTCCTTCAGCAACAATACCTGTATCATAAAAAATTCATACTTCATAAAACTTCATTTAGTGAAAATTTACTATTTCAGAAATTCATACATATGCTACCATTCTTTTTGTATTCCTCCTCTAGCACATCCTTTCTTCTTCTGAATGAGGTAAATGTTTAACCTAATAATTTCCAGTAACTGAGTTTGGATTTACTTTGCCCTGTATTAACGTTGGTTGCAATTTGTGTAGCTGACTTCATATATGATGCGAAAATTTTTTTCCATTAAATAAATAAATAAACAAGTAAAGTCATTGGATGATCAAATTACTTTACTCTCCCTATTAGGTGTGAGTTTGATAAAAACGATTTCTCAAGAGTCCAGCGTTTTGTTTTGTATTACCAATTTCAATATAAACTATTGAATAATAAAATAATAAAGAATTAAATATATTTTACTAAATGAGCAAACTGATCTCTAAACATTGCCAGCAAAAGAGAGAGAAAAAATTCCTACTACCATAAACCTTCTGAAATTATTTACATTTCTTTCAACTAAAATTGCTGACTAGGAACGTGCTTTTTAAATTATCAATGCATTTTACAGGAAAAGCATCCTAATGGCCTTATCTTTGTTTTTTTAATTGATGCAGAAATTCAGAGAAAATATCATAGCCCACAGGTAGGAAAATGAAAAGCTTGGAAAAGAAAACTCCAAATTAGAGAAATGGCCATTAAAATAAGAAATGCAGTTCAACTCTGGATAGCAGAATAAAAACGTTGACTCTGTGTGTAGCATACCTGACAAATGATGAGAAATTTCATCTGGAAATCATTATGAAAGGTACTGAAATAAGTTTATAAAATCTGTGGGTTCAGCTACAGTTGGATAATTACAAGAGAGAGGCCTGATTATCACAAGAACTTGTAAAGGTAGAAAATAAGGCAAGAAATGCATTTAGATGATTCCCTTCTTTTTAATGGGCAAAAATAGGGTATAGTGTTTGGACAAATAAGCTCCCACTAACACATTTCCACCTATTTCAATGCACATTCCCTCATGTCAGATAGAGAACAAGTTTTGTTTAGTGGTTCAGGAACAAAGTTACAAATCAGGAGAGAGTGAGTTCTAGTCCTATCTTGAGCCCATAGCCATGTAATTGATTTTGGCCCAGCCACTCAGCCCTAAGAAACAGGCAATGGAAAATCATTTTCAAAACCCTGCCAAGAAAACTGCAGAAGACTCATCCAGGTAGTCATCAGGAGTTAACATTGACTCAAAGTCACACACATGCAAACACATCTGACACAGAATCTACATCTTCATAAGGGACAGATATATCCAACAGCTCACAAAGGCCAAATATATCTCTATTCCCTCCCTCTCCAGGAGAGGAAATGTTTTTGTAATTTCAAAAAGAAAAAAGAAATTAAACTTAAGACAGTTCTTAGCTAGCCTTAGCCTTTTCTTGTTCCTGTACAGAATACCCTTCTGTTTAGAAGGCTATTCTGTACAGGAACAAGAAAAGACTAAGGCTAAGCTAAGAATTGTCTTAAGTTTAATTTCTTTTTTCTGTGTGTATTTCAAGTTAATTTATGTCTTTGGTGGTTTTTACTTTTATACAAGCTCAGCCATTTGCTCTTTTTATCTAACTTGTTCATATGAGAGTTTATAAAGAATAGCAAACTAGCATCATCTCTTTTTTCAGAGTCTTATTTTTCTACAGGTTGTTCTAAGGGAGATCCTTTTAAATTGCTTTCTGAGATCTGTACTACTCTATATTTCATCTTGTTTGCTGTTCAGTGTGGTACGGTTTATAAAGCCAATGGCTGTATTATATTCTCTTTTGATCGTACTGCGCCCCCCCCCCCCCCCCCCCCCCCCGCAATCATCATTCAAATCCATACTTCACTGATGAGAAGTTGAACTAAAGAAGAATAGTATTAATACTGGCATTTGTTTCAGGCTGGAAAAAATGTAAAATTGTATAGCTTTATGTGTCAGTTAGCATGTCTGATACGGCAGCAAACATTCTTTTGCGATTCTAGGGGATAAATATAACAGCATGAGAAAGAAATCTAAACCACTAACAAAAGCAATGTATATGTTTTCTTTTTGTAACATGGGATTAGGGTAGAGAAGATGTATTATCTTCTCCCAAATAACTTGTTTCTTCTGCCTTTAATGTAAACAAATTTTCAATGTTAGGCATATTTATAATATGCACATATTGATTTAAATGTTTTCAGTGAGTGCAAAAAACAACTTGATGAAGGAATGCTGTAAATGAAGGAATATTTTCCAAAGCTAATTTTTGGGAAAGCTTACTATTTCCCATCCTTTTCAGCTTTGCTGAACTATTTTGTTTTCTTATTTATGGTTAACCAGAGACTTGACTGCATCTTTGAACACAAAACAAACTAAGTGGTGGCATATTTTGGTCAACCACTACTCTTCCCAATACTAAGAAATTATTGAGCAACAGCCATAAGTATTAGTGTGTTTTCCAAAAATATTCTTTTAAAGAATATTACCACACACTTAGCCTGGTACAGAAGAGAGAATAGGCAAAATAATTGTACTTTGATCTAACATAATTCAAACTGCCAACTCAGCAAAATGCCAGTATTACATTTTTCAGCCTGAATTCCTTATTTGTACAATAAGAATAAAGCACTGACCTTCTTATGGAAAAACAATCAAGTTATAATATCCTATATATATAAAAAAGAATGCCTATCTGTTTCCAGTAAAAATGTAAGGCAACAATATTTCTATTATGGATATGCTTGAGTTCTGTTCTTTAAAAAAAAACACAAGTAAATATTAGTCATGCTGCCTTAAACAATATTTAAATGATAAAGTGGTAATCATATTACTTCAGATTTAAGGATAAAAATATCTGCAGTAGATATAACTTTATAATTGAATGCGATATCTAATTTAATAAAACAGGAATCAGAAGGAGTTTATAAAAAGAGACTATGATCTCACTCTTTCTTGTGACTAGGGGAATGGTTTCAGTAAAAATTGAGAGAATGCAGATATTTAAATCTTCATATCTTGCTGTCTCATGAAATCTGATGGATATTTAGCCTAATAAGATATAGAGATAATAATTAATGGTCTTAACATACTGTCACAAATAATAAAATAATCTTCAGTCTATCACTCCAAGAGATAATTGATAAAGTAATGCATTGTGCTAAGCAAGTATGTAATTTTATATTAACTTAATGTCTTGGATACATGCAGCTAATTCATGGCCTAGTAGTTGATTGCCAAATACGGTTTGTTTACTTACTTATTTATAAATTTATTTCCTGTCTATTTCGCCGTGGTTTTCAATAATAAAAAGATGAAAGGAGTGTAAACAGAAGTAAAATAACAGAACAGTAAAATAAACAATGATAAAAGTACATAAGAATACATCAATATGATAACCAAAAAGATGGATTGAGGAAGAGCAGAGAGCAGGGAAGGGGGTAGAAAGTCTGCCATCCATTTAGCATCAACCTCCACTATTTGATGTATTCATTAACCAAAATTAAACAATGAAACTATTCAGGCCGATATGTAAACCAGGCTAATTTACTAATTTTTGAGATCTCTGAATATATCATTTATTGTTAAATGTATTTCAGAGAAATATTAATATTACTTTATTATTGTTTGGTCTTTAACATCATTATTATCATGCAAAATTTATACATGGGACAAGAAGTAACAGTCCAGATGGAACATGCTGAAACAGACTAGTTTTAGGTCATTTGTTTACATCGTAGTTCATAAAAGGAATGAAACAAAGCTGTATACTGGCCTTATTTACAACATGAATTTTTACTGAGGAATGCTGGATTGAAGAATTATGTTTAAAACTTGATTAAGAAACATCAATAACTTATGAAATGCTGGCAATACTACTCTGTAAAAGAACCAATAACCAGGAAATACAGTTTAGTACTTGTAGAATAGCAATGTAAATCTTAGGGGGGTGGGATATTTAAATACCACCTGTCTATATTATAAAATCAGATGTGTATAGCAATAGTTTTCCCTGTGACACTCTAACACAGTGGTTCTCAACGTGTGGGTCACAACCCCTTTCACAGGGGTCGCCTAAGTCCATCGGAAAACACATATTTTCGATGGTCTTAGGAACCCAGCCATAATTTTATGGTTGGGAGTCACCACAACATGAGGAACTGCATTAAAGGGCTGCGGCATTAGGAAGGTTGAGAACCACTGATCTAACACAAAAGCAGATAGAAAAGTATTTTTATGATTTTGTACTTTGATGTTGGAGAAAAACAATGGGTAGGTAAGAAAATATACAAATAGATCAATGATCAAATTAATCCAATGTTCACACTCACATAAGAAATAAAATGCAAATTATCA